ATACATACATATATATATATATATATATATTTCGGTTGGCGCTAAAGATCGTGCAGATCTTTGACCGCGAGATGTGGTCTCCTAAGTCACATCCTGATTCCTGATTTAAGAACACGGGGTTAGGGTCATCAGTCCTACGCCATGTATAATCTCAAATAGTTTGTATTTTTTTTTTCCTTTCGCTCAGTTAACATGGAGTGGGGTGGTAAAGAAAACCGAATAGTTGTGCTCGCCTCACACAAAGTTAGAAAATGTAGGTCAGAGATTTTCAACCTTTTGAAACCTTTGGGTATCAGCCATATGTTCGTGTAAAGCACTATAAATAGATATAATCATACCCTATCTGCATGTGACAGGCCTCGACCGGCTCGCACTGCGAGAACGGCAAATGCAGAGAGAAGAAATCCCATTCGAAAAAAACAAATATGTCTCGGGAAATAGGAATCAATGTCTCGCATAATAAAAAGTGGCCTTAGGATGGGTGCATTTCGAAGAATGACAGGGTATAGGCTAACCACTGTCCTAAAAAAAAAGTTAGAATGGATAGATACAAAGTGCTCCTTGGCCGTTACACCAATGGTCTTCATCGAAAGATTTTGTACAGCGAAGAGAAAATCTTTATAATTGAAGACAACTTTAATCGCGAAAATGATCGTTTTTACGCACCACAGGCGGATTCACGGGAGAAGGGGGGCTTTCGGGCTGAAGCCCTCCCAAAATGGTAAAATGTAACCATGTTTTATGGTAAAAAATATTAAAAAATTATGTCTTAAAGTGTTATTGCTCGTTTAATTACATTTAATAGGACTTAAAGAATCACTTAAACACCATTTCGTATAGGTAGTTAGTATCTTTCTGTTTTTTCCAATGTAATTATCGTTATATATGTGCAAAAAAAAGCTTCCGGACTGAAGCCCCTCCCAAAATTAAATCCTGGATCCGCTAGTGGTACGCACACAACTCTAAAGAAGCCCAGGAAGTCATTGGAAGAGTGGAAATAGGTCATCGCCCTTCCACAGTGATTGTTTGGTGGGGGGGGGTGTTGCTTTAATGACACCACAAAGCTCCATTTTTGTGAAAAAGGAGTTAAAACAGTTGCTATAAACTACTGGGATGATATTTTGGAACCTGTTGTCAAGTCTCTAAATGATACTCTGTTTGCTGGAAGTTATTGGATTTTCCTGCAGGATTCCGCTCCAGCTCACATGGCCAAGTCAACTCAGCAGTGGCTGCAAAAGAACATTCCAGAGTTCATCTTTGCCTTAGATTGGCCCTCAAGAAGCCCTGATCTAAACACACTAGATTATCGGCTTTGGTCCGAATTGGAGAGGATGGCATGCCACAGAGCACACCTTAACTTGGAAAGCCTTAAGCAATCTCTGGTCCGAGCAGTTGAGCACTTTCCTCAAGAAGTGCTGCGCGCTGCTATTGATGACTGGCCACGGAAATTAAATTAAAGTGTCATAAGGCAAAAGGGGAACATTTTGAGTAATTTATTTTTTGTTTTACTCTCTGTAGATATACATTTTATTTTCTAATGAAGTTGTTAAAAGAATTAATTTTTCTGTTGCAATCTGTATAAATTTGCATGTATAAATATTTATGGCAGGACTATGAATATGGGACTGAAATCTAGAAACAATATAATTCGAATACTAAAATTATAACGCACACATAGCTTTATATCAACCAACATAGCTTTATACATGCAAGTAAAAAGATATGACTGGATTAAACATTTAAATTGAATAAATGAACGATAATAAATAACCACAATTAACTGTTAATTACTATGGGGGTGATAATGGATGATCCCCAGGGAGTCTAGAATAATGTACTCGACCAATATCACGAGATCCCCAGCATTAACACCTAGCTCCATGAGGAAGCTCCTTGTTCTTTTTGGAATCGTTCCGCGAGATCTAAACCAGAGGCCTCTCTCTCTCTCCTATGACCTCGCTGAGAATTTCCCTATTGGGAAAGGGATATAGCCATCGTATATACTCTTCTTTTATTTTTATACGTCGCTGGTCATTGCTCTCAACATGGGTGTCCATTCTCCCTTAGGTCGATGGCGCAAGAACTTATCCCTCCTCCACTCCCAAGATATTTTATTGCTCACCCTTTCTTAAAAACACAGCAAACGAAGGCAAAGATAGAAAAATCGTAGTTCATATACAACTACACGTGCTGCTGTTCCATGTTTTCTCATTGTACCTTAGTATGAAACTTTTCATTCCGAAAATTCATAACATAAATTTCCTCCCCCCAAAAATTAAAAAAAAAAACTCAAAAATTTTGATGCCACAAGTTGCGCCATCAAACCCCCTTTTAGGTGCCCCAGACTATCAAACTAGTTGAACTATTGAAATAGTTGAATCAAAGACAAGAGTTGTCTTTCCAGTCTTTGGGAATACAACAATATTTGTGTATCTTATAGATCCATCATTGTCGATGCAATACTGGAGTCAGGTACTGGTTTCAGCCATAAGAATTTATTGTCTTTCGGAGTCTCTTTAAAATGCCCAACTAAAACGCCTTACCAACTGCAGCTGGCCCATTCTTCAAAGGCATTCTCTCTCAGCGACTGTCCTATAGCTCATCGATGGCCCTGATCAACGCCCAGTCTTTCCGCACATTTGGTGATTTCTGCATTATAATCAAATGTGGACTGGAACAGGGCATCCGGTAAATTAAACAGTCACTGGCAATGGACCAATGCTGCAAATCAACTTCCTATTGAAATTTCGGCGATAACGATAACTGCATCATAAGATGAGAAAGAAATTTCTTCTTATACGTTGGAAGGAATTTGTCCAGATCGGTATTGTGTACAAAAGAGCAGAGCTAGTTACCAATAGCTGAAAGCATTCTTTTAGAGAGGCCACTGATATTTGACATTATCTGACCCAGCACATTCTTCAAACATGCTGCGTCATTACCTATGTACAAATATTTAACAAACCATTACAAGGTACCAGTCAATCTGCATCACATGATATGTAATAGTGAATGATTCAATATTTAAGAGATATCAAACTCTTTAACGGTCAATCCGACTCTTCTGTTGTAGTGGCACAGGTTACATCAAAATCGATCAACTATTCAACGGAATGTGGAACCCCTTCCTCCAATTTGCATCGAGCCCAGCTCAGTTCTTGAAAAATGGTGCAGTTTAGTACTTTTTATCAATGCAAAAATAAGGCACAGTAACTGCATCAAAATGACACAAACCCTTTTATATATCAAATTTTGTTATAGTAATAACACAAAGTTCTCATTTCGTAAAGAGAAAAATAGAAAAAATGAAATGTTACTAAACTTTTTAAAACAAATCCAAAATATTCACTCTTTATTTATACAAAATATTAGGTAAAGCACTACACATTATGCATTTTATTATCTGTCTATGAATATAAAAAAATATATATAAAATGATTATATATATTATAAAAATAAGATGTATTATTATGAAACACAATGAATGGCATACTTTTTCCCTTTCATACTGCCTTTTTTTTCCATCCAGTTTTTTACTACAATTTTGTTATTGCCGACAAAAGAGCTAATGAAAATTTCTAACTAAATTAATAGAGAAAATTACTTTTGAGAAAGGATGATTTCCATTTTTGTCCAAAGAAAATAAAAATACAAAAGATATAAAGAAATATTTTAAACACCTTATCATTATGTTGTTACTTTTAAAATTAAAAAAAAAAATAACCCAAAATTCATTTAAATATATTTAAATCTTTTCCGATATTTTAATATTTTTACATTATTTAAAATATTTTTTCTTCATAATTAATTAATTTATAATAGTTATATATGGTTCCCTTCAATAAAACTTTATCTGTTATTCTTTGTTTGATATCATTAGTTTTATAATTACACAGGAACCTGAGATTGCATCAAATTTAGCCCAGTTCTTGAAAAGTACTTTTTGTAAATTTAGACTTTATTTACCAACACAAAGATAAGGCATAGTAACTGTATCAAAATAGCATAAACCCTTTTATAAATCAAATTGTGTTGCAGTAATTACAGAATGTTCTGATTCACTTAAATTCTAATTTTATATAAAAAAAAACAGCTGGTGCAGTGTATGTATCACACTGTATGCTACACTACAACATATTCATTTAAAAAAATAACCACATGTTTTTCTGAACCGTTTGATCTGTTAAATGTATGCCATTTTGTCCCTTGTAATTTTTATTAAATCTTTTGCTTTTCAATAGTATATTATACATCTTTATATATTTCTGATTGCTTCAGAAACCTTCTAGATCTTTGGCCGTCAAAACCTCTAAGAAGGAATAAAACAGAAATGTGAGAATAATACAAAGTAATTAATTCCTGATTTAACACCTGTTATTTGATTTACCTTTCCCGATAGGACTAAAACAGAATAGACTAATATTCAGGGAATTATAAAGAAGGGACTAATATTTAAAATAGAGGTCTAGGAGGTATTGAAATCTTATTATTCAAATATTTAGAGGATGATGTCAGGCACTGGTGCACTGTCAACTTTTACTCTATCTATTTTAAAATAGGAGAAAGAAAAAAAATCAATCAACATATAAACTTTATTATATTATAATCTATAATATAATATATAGTCAAATAATAACATCCTATAACTTCATACACAATTATATAAAGTTATATTAACATTATGTATGTATATTTATATATATATATATATATATATATATATATATATATATATATATATATATATACATACATATACATATACATATATATACATATACATATATATACATATACATATATATACATATACATATATATACATATACATATACATATATATACATATACATATATATACATATACATATATATACATATACATATATATACATATACATATATATACATATACGTATATATACATATACATATAATAATATACATATTATATATATATATATATATATATATATATATATATATATATATATATAAAACTTAAATATATTATTTATTGCACTTTTTGTGTTATCTTTCTTTTATTTGCTAACATAAAATAATGTGCAAATGATATGTCTTTGAAATATATAATAAATACATTATAAATTCATCTACAAATAAATCTAAATAATTTCAACAACAAAACATAATAATTAATAAAATACCTTAAAAATGGTATCATCAACAAAAATAATAAATTCATTTAGCTAAAATTGAGTTTGTTTTCTTTGACATCTGCATATTACAATCTAATAACTAGGGCAGCTTTCACTCACAATATAACAACATATATGATCTGAATCATTCAATCACTTTCATTGAATGTTTAAAGTTTTACATTTAATATGTTTCTACTAAACATGATCACAAGGAATGTGGAACACTAAAACTATCAAGGAAATGTTTTATCCATGTGTATGTGTATGTGTGTGTTTCTATGTGTAACATGTTGTAAAACAGAATTTTTACTATCAAAGAGACCTTTATAGGAGATAAAATCGAAAATATTTTTAAAATTCAGGAAACTGAACAGTAATAATAATTAAATTAAAATTCGTATTTAAAAATATTCGATTCTTTCTAGTCTTAAGATTCCATTAAAAAAAAATATATAAAAAAATAAAGGCAACAAAGCAACGAGAAACAAAACAATATTAATTTAAACTAATAACATGGAAAGAAATAAAAACAAAACAGTATTGTCTACTAGGTGCTCTTCTCTCCAATTCAGGCTGAAGTGTGGAGGCCAATGGGTTGAACATTGCCTAAACAGTCGAATCCCCAGCCCTGTGGCAGAATAATTTTTTTTTCAGATGTTATAATCAAATATAATAATAAAGTGATTAGTAATCAATCAAAAATCAAATTCATTATTAATTCAAAAACTTATTTCTAGGAGACTCCTTAGTACAGTTTGAATATAATATAAACCAGATAATATAATTAATATATTGGTTTGAAAAACATAAAGATAACTTGTAAAACAAAGAACAAAGATGGATAGTAATATGAAGTAATTTAGACTGAATCCGTTTTCACCAGATATTTACTCAATGTTTTTCCATTGGTGGAGAAAAAGGACTCAGCCTAAATAATTGCAATACTAAAGGTGAAAAAAGAGTTTTCACCTTAAATAAAATACAGTAATTTTTTTTACATAAAAATAACTATTATCAAGGATTAACTCTACACAGATATAAAACATTCACAAAATGCATCAATAGTAAAATATACAAAGCCAAAAAAATGTATTTTAAAAATGTTTCTGAATAAAAAAAAAAATATGTGTTGAATCCCAAAACAAACTCACACTATACAACACAACACATTATCCGAGCTCTGATCTATTATGCTTCACCTGCGTGGAACTCAACATGCAAAAACTAATTTTTTAATAATTGACAAAGTACAAACTTCATGTATGAGAATAAATAATAACTACCCATGCTACACAAAAATTTCAATTAAACTCCATGAACTATATTTTCCCACAGTAGTATAGAAATTCATTTATACACCAACTAAATCATATTTAAAAAAATAAAAATAAAATAAAATAAAATCTTAGCTTCTGAAAATTCTCTAAAACAGGGAATTGGCAATAAGAATGAAACATCACATAACGATACACCCTCAAAATAACGAAATATTTACTTCTAAATTAATATTGTATGTTTGCATGATTAGGTTATTGTTACATTTTTCCTGCCATGTATCATCATGAATAAGGATTTCCGAAATCATGTACATAGATTTATATACAAATATGTTAAATAAATAATCTTTAGCTTCCTAAAAAAAAGCTGTAGTGGGCTCTGATCCATATACTTACTATCAACTCTTTCCAAATTTTAATAATTTTGTATGTCATTATATTTGTATGGAGGGAACTAGTCTGGCAAGAAGGTTCTTGTGGTCCCTTTTGCCAACCACTGATGGATATCTAGAGAATGTCACCTTGTCCTAACCAGTAATAATTTATAAGCAGTAAATAATTTACACACTATTTTAATCTAACCAGTGTCGTCTCTTCAGAAACAAAATAAATATAATATTATTATGTTGTATGTATTATTTAATTTAAGAAAGTTATAATTAAATGAACGTTAAAAATTTATATTTAATAGGATGTTTTAAACATATATATTTTTTCTGTTGTCTTTACCGTAGTAGATCTTAGATTGACTTCTCCATTTCAGCTTATCTTAGATTATTGCTTTTCAGTTATCAGCATACAGCTCTAAGGACGGATTCAATCAATCCATCTGGTTTTTGGAGATTTCCGCATGGTCTCTTGCCTACTAATAAGGCATTCATTGTTGCGTAGAGACTTCCTGGTGGATTACTCCAAACTTCATGCCTGGTCCACCTCGACCTTCTTGCCTTCATATCATAAGATATTGTTGATTGACCTGTTTCTGTAAGCAGTTCTTTATGGCCCTGCTCCTCTATTTGTTAATACTCTGATACAAAAACATTTTGGTTATCGTGCAAAGGATTTTCTAAATATCTTCTAATTCAGTATTAAATTTTTACAGCTGTGTTGGTTTTATCATAGCATTGTGCACCCTTAATTTGAAATTTATAGAGAATGTTTGGGATCTTAATAATTATAGAAGAGAGAAGAAAGCTTATGTTTGTGCATTTTATTTCTCCAGGTATATTACCAACTGTTGGCCATAGACACATAGGTTTTTGTGGAGCCGCAGTATTTGAATCTGAGTTCTCCTGGGAATGTACGTATATAGATGTATGTATGTATGTATGTATGTATGTATATATATATATATATATATATATATATATATATATATATATATAAACATTGATGGTAAATTATATGATTTGATGCCTGTATCAAACAAGTTTCACTTTCCACCCTGCTTTAAGTAGAAATGGATTATTTACAAGCATAAGGAGAGGAAAATAAAAATGATAGAGTGTGACACATATTATTTGCAAACAATTAATTACTGTATGTTTGTCTGCTTAACATTAAAGAAAACTTAATTTCACACTGGTGTAATGAATTTAATCAAAATTGACCAAGATGTTTTTGAGAAAATTGTAACAATGTGTAAAAGCGATGATATATAATATAAGGCCACTTCCGGTTTGTCAATTTTAGCAAAAAATTTGTGGTAACATACGGTTAATAATAATTTTGTATCTATATATATGTTATGTGGGACAACATCCGTGCTGGGCTATGCGGATGATCTGGTACTGTTAAGCGAAGACCTTGAAACTATAAAACTAAATACGACAACGTTAATGAAAGCCGGTAAAGAACTAGGACTCGAAATAAACGAGGATAAAAAAAAATATATGGTTAGCTGTAAAAGTGGCGATACTACTGGTGATATCGATATAGATGGTTACATGTTTGAACAGGTAGAGAAGTTTAGGTATCTAGGTTCTACGATAACTAGAAAAAACGAAATTGAAGAAGAAATTAAGGCTAGACTGAAGGCGGGAAATGCTTGTTATTTTTATGTGACAAAACTACTTAGTTCGCGCCTCTTGTCCTGGAACTTAAAAATTAGAATCTATAAAACAATCATCTTGCCTACAGTTCTTTATGGGTGCGAAACTTGGCCGCTTACATTAAGGGATGAGCAGCGTCTTAAGGTTTTTAAAATAAAGTATTGCGTAGAATATTCGGACCGAAGAAGGATGAGTTAACCGGAGAGTTCAGACGGTTACACAACGCCGAATTGCGTGAACTGTATCCGGGTAATATAATTGAGGTAATTTCATCGCGGCGAATCAAATGGGCTTGTAAAGTTGTTGGACTTAGTAACGAGAGAATTCCTAAAAGGTTAATATTTGCTGTGCCGAATGGTAAGCGTCCGAGGGGTAGACCGAAGCGAAGGTGGGAAGATTGCATTAAAGCCGATCTGAAGGGACTGGGTTTGGACGGCGAACGGTGGAGGGAGGTGTGTAATAAGCGATTGGTGGTGTCGGCATCGAACCTTCGGGTTCGATAAGCCTTTTTATTATTATTATTATATATGTTATGAGTGGAAGCATGCAATTCACATAAGTGAAAAGGACAGGTACATGATGGGTATTTAGCTATATAAAAAGAATCTCTATATGTTGAAATATGTAATGTTTTAAATATGATTGTAAATTGTAAAAAAATTTTTAGACTTGAAAATGGCTTAACGAGTCGAAACGTGGTAATTGGATGTTATGTCTTTAAGTTGACAAAATTTTAAAAACTGGTGTAAAATTGGCTGATAATAAATAAACTTGAGAAGTTGAGAAATATTGTGAAAATAATAATAGGGTGTATAAAAAAAATGACGATGATGATTTGAAAAAAAAAAAATGATAATTTTTATCAAATTCAAGATTTCAAAGGACTGTAAATATTTTAATCCTATTTAATACTCACCAATACTTAATAATTTCTTTACAGCATTCTATAAGCTTGTTTAATCCCATTCAATATCTTCAGAAAAAGCCCAAGTTTAGTTATTTGTTTTAAAGAAGAAACATGAGTGTCCTACGAAATTCTCGTAATTTTAAGGCATTACTGGAAAAAAAATTCACAGCCGCTGAAGCAACTCATGAAATTATTAAATATGAAGGGAAAGGTGTCCTTGACCAGCACACTGCGCAGTGTTGGTTTGAAAAATTTAGCAGTGGAGATACGACATTGGAAAGGAAGAAGGGCTCGGGCGACCATTAATGGATATTGATGAGGTTCTGCAGGAAGCTGTTGAGTCAAATCCATCCACAAGTACTCGTGAACTTGCCAGGGAGTGTGGTGTGTTGAAAGATACTGTTAGTCGCCATCTAGAAGGTGAAAAAGAGCAGTAGACTGGTCCCTCATGAACTTACTCCTCAGCAATCAGCTAAGAGGTTAGAAATTTGTGAAAATTTATTGAAAAACCCTTCTGATATGAGATTTTACCGGAAGATTGTCACCTGTGATGAAAAGTGGGTTAACTGGCAAATTCGAATACCCATGAGCAATGGCTAGATCGCGGTCAAACTGCTTTTCCGGTTGCTGCAAGGAGGAAATTTGAAAAAAAAAATCATGCTTTGAGTTTCTTTTTGGAATTTTGAAGGTGTTAATTATCACAAATTTGTTCCTGATGGATGCTCTATGCATTCTGAACTCTACTGTGAACAACTGGAAAGATTTTAAGCGAAGTTGTCTGAGCGTTATCCTGCTTTGATCAACTGAAAAGGAATTTTATTCCAATAAGATAATGCTCGTCCTCACACTTCCTGTCGAACCAAAGAAAAGTTTAAAGAACTTCATGGGTTCAAACTCCTGCCTCATCCACCATATAGTCCAGACTTCACACCATCGGATTACTACTTACTTGGATCCATGGCCTATTTTCTTCAAGGGAAAAAATTTGATAATTTTGTGGAAATTGAAATTGCGGTCCAAGAGTTCTTTGACAGCCATCCCAAAGAATGGTATCAGCGTGGGATCGAGCGATTGGCTAAAATATGGCTAATGATGGTAGATAACAATGGACTATACTTTGAGTATTAATTTTATTTTATATCAAAGAAATAATAATACAAATATTTGGTTGAATTACAATGGTTCATTATTAAAAATAATAAACCAAAAATCTGAATAATCTATTTATAGGGTCGTAGAAAAATTGAGCGATACAGACATTAAGGTTCATCAAATTAACTCTTTTAATTGGCTGTATTTGTTGAAAGTAGTCGAGAATTCAGTATTTTAAATATCAAAAATATATAATATGAATTTCCTAAATCACTAATTTTCAGAAATAAAGGTAACAAAC